CTCCAGTCTGTGAGGAGGGCATGAGACAAGTGTTAAAATAGAAACAAAGTATATGAGAAGGTTAATAGTGTTGTGAAGACTTGTGGGAAGAGGTTGGCTATAAGGAAGAGTAGAGAAATGAACGAGAGAAGAAAAGAGAGCTGATCAAGGGATAGAAAAATGCCTTAAAATCTAACATGTCATGTTTTGAAAGGCTTTGGGAAAAATAAAAAACATAAAACATGCCCTTTCCAGAAGAAACCAAGTAATCTAAGGAAGGTATTTTATTTCAGATAAGTAGAGTGAGATGAATTTTCTCCAGTCTCAAAAAAGTGAACTTTGCCCAGCCAGAGTGGCTCACTTGGTTGAGCGTCGTCCTGTGCTCCAAAAGGTTGCAGATTCGATGCCTGGTCAGGGTACATACCCAGGTTGTGGGTTCTATTCCCTATCAGGACATGTACAGAGGGCAACCGATCAATGTTTCTCTCTCACATCAATGTCTCTGTCTGTCTGTCTGTCTCTCTCTCCCTTCCTCTCTCTGAGCATGTTCTTGGGTAAGGATTTTTTAAAAAACAACTGAACTTTATTTTACACAATAGAAGCATAAAAGACCTTTGAAATTCCACATAGAACTTGATATCAGACATCAAAGGGGAGTGGTATCAGGTTGATTAATATCAGCCTCCCTTCACCAACACAGACAGCAGTGTCTCAGAAAACTGAGTCCCTCCAGAGCAGGGACAACACCTATTAATCTTGGAGTCCCCAACCTTAGCACATCGTTTGGTGTATTGCCGTTATTTTTTTTTTAACAAATAAAATGATTACAGAGTTAGTCCCTTCCTGCACATCACAGCACTGATTCAGTTGGAAGAAATTATTTGAAAGTAACTGACAAGAGAAGGAGTGTGATATGAAGTAGATGATTGAGGTTTTCAAAGGACACATCTCGAAATTTTTCTTCATTCCCAAATTGTTCATTTCACTACATCATATAATTTTCCACACAAAAAAAACATACGCACTATGAGCAGAGAACAACAAACGTATATTGAGATTCAGATGTTGATATTAAGTAATGAGAATCATTCTTTAACTAAATTGCAAATTGCTAACTTTTTGACTGCTATTGTATACATAATCTCAGGAAATCATTTGAATATAATCAGATTGGCAAATACTAAAACATGAATGTTTATAGGCTACTATGTTTTATTTAGCAGATTAGGAAAAAGATATTTTTTTTATTCTAGCATTAGAGCATTCTCTGTCCTGCCTCTGTTGAGATTAATCTGAGGACATGTATGTGTGTTGTTGTTGTTGTTTTATGAGAGAGAGAAAGAGAGAGAGAGAGAAACATTGAGGTGAGAAACATCGATTAGTTGTCTCCCATACATACCCTGACTAGGGATCGAACCCGCAACCTAGGTATGTGCTCTCACTGGGAATTGAGTCCGCAACCTTTTGGTATATGAGACAATGCTCCAACCAACTGAGCCACCCAACCAGGGCATACCCTTCTTTTTTTATCCTCAATTTGCATAGTTTAATATTGTGGACTTTATGGGCATTCAGTAAGTAGTTGATGACTTGGATTAGGTGGGAAAATGTACCAATATGAACACTGTAAAAGTCAGTGTGGATAGGCATAAAATAATTAGAAACACATTCCCATATACAATGAACTTTGTTGATATATTTTCCCAACTCTTTGCTAACATTCCATGATCAGATCTGTAAATTATAAAAGGCCAACCTACAGGCAATACTTTGCAGAATACAATGACAATAGATCCAATAATAGGAAAATGTAACTGATTTCAGGCCAATCTAATAAAGGACATTTGTAAGTCAAGCCCAGGAAATTGCATTCAAGAGTAATGTTGTGACATTCACTGCAATATGACAGTGGTAACAAATTTTAAAAAGAATATTGAAGCTTCAAACTCTCCAATTCTTCAGTGATAATGGGATTTCAGGTTACCCCTAACAGAGTAATCAAGCTAAAGAAGCAGCTAAGAGATACATAAAAGGAATCAAAATTGAATAAGGATCCAATAATATTATAGCTTATGTTTCAAAACGAAAAATGAAAACATGGGGAAAAGGGATAGTTCTCTGAAAGTTGACTGACCGCCTCCAGTGGGTTGAATTTCTTGGATACATCTGGCCAAGTCTAAATGGAGAGATGACATTTGTGTTGAGACTATTAATTGTCATAACAATAAATTCAGTAACATTAAGAGAAGGATGGAAGTAATAAATTTAGAGATTATTAAAGGAAGAGACTTTGTTGTAATGCTGATATAAGGTATAAGAAAAGTATTCATTTGCACCTTTCTATTTGAGATTTTTCGTAAGTGGTGTGATTCCAATGATAAGACCGACCTTGGAAAGGAACAGGTCATGAAAAGGATATTTTGAGTTTAAGGAAATAGTTCATACTATGATGCAGAAGTAGGGGGGATATACAGCTTGCTTAATCCAGCCACTGTGCCAGGGTATAGGCATTTCAGGGCACAGAGGGGAGCATAGTCAACAATGGCTATCAGTGTGTAGGGAAAAGATGCACAAATACTTACTGGCAAAATGTTGTATAGATGACAAAAGCTATACAAATTATAAAGAGCAAAACTTGAAAATTCAGAGAAATGAATGCTTCAAAAATGTACTTGAAAAAGTGTAGGTAAGGTTAAAAGATAACATTGTGGTATTAAGACAATTTAGATGATTATTTATACCAAGTAGGAAGATGGATGCCAAAGGAACCTATAGACATGAGCTAGGAAGGCACATGGAATTTAATTTCTCTAAAGAAACAAAACTTAAAATGGAAATGTTATACCTGGCAAAGCAGGAGGATGAAAATTGGCCTTATATAGTTGAAATGTTTGCCTTGTTTGTCAGTGCAGGATATTTTTTCTCTAATAAACAACCTTGATGAGAATAAATATCTGAACAGAATCTTGAAGTATGTGGAAAATAATGCAGGAACAAAAGAATTATGATGGTGATATAAACCTATTATGCTATTCTAAAATATTATGAAAAATTAGATCTTAATAGCAATACAAATCTTTGGATATTAGAGAGCATTTTGAAACAGAAGAGATGAGATGCAAGAGGATTGTCAATCTGGCGAGATGTATTTTTCTTATGCATAGTTTGGGAATTATGTCGTTTCTTCCAGTATAAACATTGACTCTATTAATAATAAAAAGGAAAGTGTCCCTCAACTAATCTGGCCTTTCCTTTCCACGTATTAGGAATATAGTCAATTTCCCCCCAGTTCAGGGGTCAGCAATTTATATCTATTTTTAAATACATTTTTATTGATTTCAGAGAGGAAGGGAGAGGGGGAGAGATATAGAAACATCAGTGATGAGAGAGAATCATTGATTGGCTGACTCCTGCACGCCCCCTACTGGGGATCGAGCCCGCAACCCAGGCATGTGCCCTTGACTGGAATCGAACCTGGGACCCTTCAGTCCACAGGCTGACACTCTATCCACTGAGCCAAATCAGCTAGGGTGGGGGTCAGCAATTTTGATGGAGACTGTAATTGGGTGAATGTGCAGTTGGTAGAGACTGTGAAATGTAATCATCATTCCAGTGTTTTATTACAGGTATCATTGCGTTTCCTCCATCTCTTCCATTGTGTGTGACATATTGTATGCATCAACATGCTGAAAGTAGAGTGCTTTCTTTCACTCAAGTGGAAGATGTAGGGCAGAATTGACCGTGTAAGTGTGGGGCACTTCCCCCGAATTTTCATAAGCTTTGTGCTCATAGATTGCATGCTGTGCTTTTTATTTCAGTAACATTTAACAAAACCATGGCCATGGAGGAAATTAAACTCACACAGAATGTCCATAATGAGGCTCTGAGTGCTGATGTTTCAGGTATGGTACAAACTCTGAGTTGCACGTTAAAGAGACAGAAGCCATCTTTTTCCTGTTTGCAGTTTCCAAAATATCCGGATTTAACCATCACTGACTTGTCCATTAACCTCCACCGTCTGGGGCACAGCAGAGGTACCCAGAAGGATAAGCAAAGCAAAACAGAGGCAGCCAGAACAGGTGTTCATGCATCCTCCAACCCAGGGGAAAGCTTCTTGGGCTTTTGTACTGCACTTAGAGTCTCTCTCCACAAGTAATCCTGTGCTGCTTGGTGATCCAGTTTCCTGTTTCACAGGCGTAATGAGCCTGTGCTGAATTAGAAAGGAGAAGGGATTATGAGAATCAGACTCACCAGCCTCATAAGAAGTGACAGTCAAAAACGTCAAAGAAGGGGGCAGAATACTTATTTTATTCATTATTTATGATTTTATTTTGTTTTGTGGAAGGGTCGGTCGGTGATGAGGGGGAAGGCTGATGGTGATTATGCCAGGTGAGCTTTAAGTCTGCTCACAAGTTTGAGACTGGGTGGCCTCCACCCCAGAGTACTTATTTTAAAATAGGCACAGATATGTTCAAGGCAGAAGGACCATGCATTGGGACAGACTATCCTGTCTTCTTCAATTTCTCCTCAAGATATCATTTTATTACATCTGAGCTTCATAGGAAAAGCCCCAAAATATCAAGGACAGTTTATATTCTGTTCACTGTATGATCTGTTATAGAAAAATTTCCGGTAAAAATGCTTTTGTTTTAAAATTTTTTATACTAATAGGGATAACATTTAGTTAGCCTCATCCTTCAGTAATCTATAATAATAAAAGCGTAATATGCTAATTAGACTGGACAGCCGAACAACCTTCTGGACATCCTTCCAGATGAAGCCGCTGCAGCAGGGGCCGAGGCAGAGGCGGTTAGGGGCGATCAGGCAGGCAGGCAGGCAAGTGGTTAGGGGTGATCGGGCAGGTAGGTGAGTGGTTAGGGATGATCAAGCAGGCAGGCAGAGTGGTTAGGGGAAAACAGGCAGGCAGGTGAGCGGTTAGGAGCCAGAGGTCCCAGATTGCGAAAGGGATGTCTGACTGCCAGGCTGCGGGACAGCTAGGAATCGGGCCTAAACCGGCAGTCTGACATCCCCCAAGGGGTCCTGGATTGCGAGAGGGTGCAGGCAGGCTGAGGGCCCCCCCCCCCCCCATGCACAAATTTCATGCACTGGGCCTCTATTACCATATAAATGAGAATTATCGTAATATAATGCATTGGATAAGCCCTAAAATATATTTATTCTTATTACTACTGATCAGAACATTTTGATTTTAAACTCCCATTTCAATTTTTTTTAAATTCCTTCAAATGAGTTACATAGAAACCACCAATGATTGGGCTTACCCTACCTTTCTTGGCAGAGATAAAAAGGATATGCATATACTAGTTCGTTCTTGCTAGTTAATTTCCTGGCTGTTAAATGTTTTTGTTTTATTTTATGCAGAGCAGTTTCTCTCCCTTTAAAAAAAAATAGCGGGTTGAAATTAGCTTATTTGGATGTTATATACACTTTTCTCTTTTGGAAAGTAGATATCAAAATTAGAGCAAATGAGAGCTTTGGAAGACAGTCTGCATTATGCTCGCAGTAAACTTCTCCCCCTCCCTCCTTACCCTCCACTCACCATTACGCACCCCGGCCAGCATGACGTGACAGTGTGTTTGTGAAAGCCTAGCCCCAGAACAGCTTATGTGACTCATACTATGAAGCTTTTACTACCTCTCTAGGGAGGTTACAAAGTCTGTTAGGTCTCCTTACTTCCTTATTGTGCAGGTTGAGATTTTTTAAAGAAATGTATTTTATTTGACTTGTTTAGATGATTCCCTTGACTACATTACTTCTTATCTTTCCTTATTGGAAATCACAAATTTACTTTGCTGTGGGATTCTTCTACACAGTTATTTGTTGTAATTTGGAATATAAAGGGATTATTCCTCAAGTTTCTGTTATTTGAACCCCAAACAAACCCAATTTCATTTTGGGTTAGGAAAAAAAAGTATACATACTGCCATATAGCAGTACCCCTGCCATATATTTTCAGCTGCCATTTCTTTGAGATACGAGAAATTGTGCAGCTCTTTGACCACTTTTTCCTGAGGGAATTTGCGTTAGTATAGGTCTTTGATATTAGAAGTTGACGCTACTATTTGATTGGGGAAGAAACAGATTCATAATGATCTCATTTTTAGCATCTATGTTCATGAGGGATATTGGTCTGTAATTCTCTTTCATTGTGTTGTCTTTACCTGGTTTTGGTATTAGGGTGATGCTGGCTTCATAAAATGAGCTTGGAAGTGTTCCTTCCTCTTGGATTTTTTGTAGTAGTCTGAGGAGGATAGGTTTTAGTTCTTCCTTGAATGTTTGGTAAAACTCCCCTGTGAAGCCGTCTGGTCCTGGGCTTTTGTTTGCTGGAAGCTTTCTGATGACTGCTTCAATTTCTTCCATAGTTATTGGCCTATTGAGATTTTTAGATTCTTCCTGATTAAGTTTTGGAATGTTGTATTTTTCTAGAAATATGTCCATTTCCTCCAGGTTGTCTAGTTTGTTGGAGTAGAGTTGTTCATAGTATTTTTTAACAATCATTTGTATTTCTGTGGGGTCTGTTGTTATTTCGCCTCTATCATTTCTGATTTGGTTTATTTGGGTCCTCTCTCTTTGCTTCTTGGTGAGCCTGGCTAGAGGTTTGTCAATCTTGTTTATCCTTTCAAAGAACCAGCTCTTGGTTTCATTGATTTTCTGTATTGTTTTTTTGGTCTCTATGTCATTTATTTCTGCTCTAATCTTTATTATCTCCTTCCTTCTGCTCACTCTGGGCTTTTCTTGTTGCTCTCTTTCTAATTCTTTGAGCTGTAGATTTAGATGATTTACTACCATTTTTTCTTGTTTGTTGAGGTAGGCCTGTAGAGCTATAAACTTCCCTCTCAGGACTGCTTTCATTGTGTCCCAAAGGTTTTGGATTGTTGTGTTTTCATTGTCATTAGTTTCCAGGATGTTTTTAATTTCTTCTTTGATCTCATTGGTAACCCAATCAATATTTAATAACATGCTATTCAGCTTCCAAGTGTTTGAGTATTTTGGGTTGTTTTTATTGTAGTTTATTTCTAATATTATGCCCTTGTGGTCTGAGAAGATGCTTGGTATGATTTCAATCTTCTTGAATTTGGGGAGACTTTGTTTGTGACCCAATATGTGGTCTATTTTTGAAGATGTCCCATGAGCACTTGAGAAGAACGTATATTTTGTTGCTTTGGGGTGAAGTGTTCTGAAGATGTCAATTAAGTCCATCTGATCTAGTGAGTCATTTAGGATTGCTGTTTCTTTGCTGATTTTTTGTCTAGCAGATTTATCCAGTGATGTCAGTGGTGTATTAAAGTCCCCTACTATGATTGTATTGTTGTCGATCTCTCCCCTGATGTCTTCCAGGAGTTTTCTTATGTATGTGGGTGCTCCTGCATTGGGTGCATATATGTTTATCAGGGTTATATCCTCTTGTTGTATTGATCCCTTTAGTATTATGAAGTGGCCTTCCTTATCTCTTGTTATGGCCTTCACTTTGAGGTCTATTTTGTCGGATATAAGTATTGCTACCCCAGCTTTTTTTTCATTTCCATTTGCCTGAAAGATATTTTTCCATCCCTTCACTTTCAGTCTGTGTGAGTCCCTTTTAATGAGGTGGGTCTCTTGTAGACAGCAAATGTATGGGTCATGTTTTTTTATCCATTCAGCCACTCGATGTCTTTTGATTGGACCATTTAGTCCATTTACGTTTAAAGTTATTATTGAAAGGTACTTGTTTGTAGCCATTTCTTTTTTTGTGTGGCTGTTTTCTTTCTGGGCTTTTTATTTCTTCTTTTTACACCAGTCCCTTTAGCATTTCTTGCATTGCTGGCTTGGTGGTGATGAACTCCCTTAGCCTTTTTTTGTCTGTGAAGCTTCTTATTTCCCCTTCAATTTTGAATGATAGCCTTGCTGGATAGAGTATTCTTGGATTCAGTCCTTTGCTTTGCATCACTTTGTAAATTTCTGTCCATTCTTTCCTGGCCTGATGTGTTTCTGTTGAGAAATCGTTTGATAATCTGATGGGGGATCCTTTGTAGGTAACTCTCTGTTTCTCTCTTGCAGCCTTTAAGATTCTCTCTTTGTCTTGTACATTTGCCATCGTTATTATGACGTGTCTTGGTGTGGGTCTTTTGGGGTTCATCTTGCCTGGGACTCTCTGTACTTGTGTAACTTTTTTCTTCCCCATATCTGGGAAGTTTTCTGTCATTATTTCTTCAAATAGATTTTCTAATCCTTGCTGCTCTTCTTGTCCCTCTTGCAGCCCTATTATGCGTATGTTACTTCGTTTCATGTTGTCCCGAAGCTCCCTTAGGCTCTCCTCCTGTTTTTTAATTTTTTTCTCCAGTTGCTGTTCAGATTGAGCTTGTTTCTCTGCCTTATCTTCTAACTCACTAATTCGGTCCTCTGCTTCTTTCAGCCTGCTGTTGAAACTTTCCATGGTGTTTTTGATTGTAGCTATATCACTTTTCATTTCTTCCTGATTCTTGCATAGGTTGTTGATTTTCTCATCCATCCGGTGAATGAATTGTACAACCATTATTCTGAATTCTTTTTCTGTCATGTTGCACGCTTCAACTTCATTAATTTCCTTTCTTGGTGATTCCTCATTGTCTTTCCTCTGGGTGTTGTGTCGTTTCTTCATTCTGCTTATCTCCCGATGGATCAAAGGTCGGGTTGCGTGGGCCTGGGCCGTGTGCAGTGGGAGCCTCCCACCACCTTAGTGTCACTGAAGAGCTCTGACACTAAGATGTGTGGTTGTTGTTGGTTGGTGGGAACCAGGCTCGCTCTGAGTCAGTGTTGCCAGCGCTCAATGTGGCCTCGTATGTGCCCTTAGAATTAGGGACCCTGCATGCACCGTGCTGAAATAGAGACCCCCCTGGAGCGTGTTGAAAACCAGAGCCCCCTA